CCCCATAAATAGAGTTTCCTGGACCTCTCCTTTTCCTCAGCATATCCCAGTTTAGTATAGTTTAGCCCTTTGCTGTGCTATGCAAGTGTTATGCAGGAATACCACTATTAAACCCACCAGAGAACTACAGAAATGTGTGGAGCTGTCCTGTGGCTAAGGGATTCTACCACAGCTCCACCTCTGGACCCTGGATGGACCTTTCTGGAATACCATGCCTCTGTTCCTCATGGTAGGGGTGTTGGCAGAAGCATTTCCAATTCTTGGAATTGGGACTGTAAAGAGCCTTCCTCCCTCCACAACAAATCTGAAGACACTTCCCTCTAAATGCACCCTCCAAACCTCTCTGTGTACACAACTAAGTTTTACTTGTTTGTCCTAGCCTCCCATCTGCCTCTGGCACCTCTAAGACCTAGTGAGTGAGAAGCAGGAGGACTCCTGTAGTTCCTGCCTCAATTTGCTCTGAGGATTGTACCAGGAGCATGTCAGTTCTTGAAGACCTCAGTCATTATTGAAGAAGACACTTGTTTTTAGAATTTGTTGTTAAACTGGACTGCATATTAGAGGAGTGACTTGTACGCAGTGAGATTTGTTTTGTAGTTGCTGCTAGCATTTTATAATAGGGGGAGAATAAGCAGAAATGTGGCTTGCTTCTACCTGTAGTTGGAAAGGATCTTCATATTTTCATTCACTCCTTAACAGCTTAACTTCCTTAACTCCTTAACTTCCTGGAGTTGGTGGTAACAGAAAAGAAAGCTCATCATTTTGGTGTTTAGCATAAAACTCCTATTAACTATGCCCTCTGGTAGTCAGAGTGGCAGGAGAAGAGGTTAGGCCAGCATCATTGTTTTTCTCCCCAAATGCTTAATGTATTTTATTGGACATGTTGACATGAGTAATGATGATTATGGTATAAGGGTAGAAACAGGTAGAGTATTATGTGCTGGGCACTTCTTTGAGCACTTATCCATTGGGTATTGATTTAATCTTGCCCTAGTTTTAGGGATTACTCAAAATACTGCCTTATGAAAGAAGTTTATGTCACTTAAGATCCTCTTCCATGCTGGATAATAATCTTTCACTGTCCCTTCCCAATACAGTTTTTGCTCTTCCTGTCTCCACTGTAACCTATATCACAAAATAGAAAACAGTGGCTTTAGGCAACACAGGTTTCTTCCTATCTCATTGTGGATTCTTGGCATTATACAGGATTGGCCAAGCTCCCAAAGAGACTAGGACACTCCCTCTGTTATGGCATCATGATTTTACTTGGGTCTTTCTGTTCTCTCAACTTGTGAAACAAAGAGAAAAAAGCAATTGCTCTAGCTCTACACATCTAGTTCAGGGTCTGTACACCTCCTGTCATCAAGGCTAGCTTTGATGAGTGAAGTAGAATTGAGCTAAGACAGATAGGCTTTCTGTTTCACACTGTATATGTATATAAGAAATCAGGACAGGGAAGGTGGCTCAGTGGTAGAGTGCTTGCCTTGCATGCATGAGGCCCTGGGTTCGATTCCTCAACACCACATAAGCAAAAAGAAAAAAGCCGGAAGTGGCACTGTGGCTGTAGCCTTGAGCTGAAGAGATGAGGGACAGCGTCCAGGCCCAGAGTTCAGGCCTCATGACCGAACCCCCCACCCCCAAAAAAAGAAACCATATAAAATGATGCTAATCAAAATGAACTCCAAGATATGCGAACAAGAGTTTTTTTTAAATGTACTGTGTGAAGTTCTTTCTTTTTTCTTTCTTTTTTCCCTTTTGGTTTATCCCCTTGTCACTATTTTTGATTTTGGTACCGCGTGTCTTGTATCTATGTTTATCTCATTTGGGGAAGGGAAGAGCAATAGCAAAATGTTGAGACAGGACTGGGAATGTGGCGTAGTGGTAGACTGCTTGCCTAGCATGCATGAAGCCCTGGGTTCTATTCCTCAGTACCACATAAGCAGAAAAAAAAACAGAAGCAGAGCTATGGCTCAAGTGGTAGAGTACTAGTCATGATCCAAAGAAGCTCAGGGACAGTGCTCAGGTCCTGAGGTCAAGCCCTAGGACTGCCAAAAAAAAAAAAAAAAATGTTGAGACAAAGGACAAAGTTTGAACTAATGCAGCATTAATACTCACAAGATACAATGCTGGAAATGAACTTTACAACTTGGGGAAGGGGAGAAAGTAGGGTAGAAGGAAAGTAGGAGAAAATGAGGGAGGGGGTAACAATGTTCGACAAGAAATGTACTCATTACCTTACTTATATAACTAATCCCTCTGTACATCACCTTTACAATGAAATAAACTGGAAAAAATAAAGAGAAGTATGCTCTCCCATTTTTCTCAAAACACTTGGCATAGCTTTCATTTTCACTTCAGACAGACATGGGGACAGAGAACTCCCCACCACAGGAGAAAGAGCCACACCGTGCAGTAATAGTAGATGGCAACTGACACTTGACTTCAGCAGACACTTTAGCAGGAAGAAGACAGAAAGGAAGGGTGGGGACTGTGGCAAGCTGCATTATACATGTTCACTCTACAGGGGGTGGACAGCTCCTGTGGATAGTTCCATTTTCAAGAAAAGTTAGAAACTGAATTTTTAATGTGGAAATCTTTTGATAAACTTGCAGCAAAAACAAGAGAAACCATGTTGCTGAACAAAACATATGGTTACCAGGCTATGACTTTATTATATTATCACTATACAGTATGTCCTTGGGTAAAGAAATATACACAGCCTAGGGAAAACAGCAGTAGGCCAAACTGCTGTAAAACATCCTTAAGGAAGCTCAGTATGGTTCAGTTCTCCTCATAATTTTGTCTCCCCTTTACAATGCTTTGTGCATCTTAAGAGCTCAGGACAAGGTCCTTGGATCTGCCTATACACTGCTTTGGCTTGTGAGAGTCTTGGGTTAATTTGACTCTAGCTGGTCTTTACAGTTCCAGTGCTTTGTATTGCCTAACAAATCTGCCTCTGTGCTTCAGGTCTAGATGCCTGAGACAGGGAATTCAATTGGTTCTGACCAGGTCTGGTACACCCCCAGTATCTAAGAAGTTCACAGAATGTGAACTTCAGCCTGTGGGTAGACTGGGAAGCAATGTGTGGCCAGTTTCTCAGTACATCTTTGGACTTCCCTCTGTAGAGACAAACAATAACTGAATTTGGGAGGTTTCTATCTGAAATATTAGGAACCTTTCTATAGCTGTGTTACCTGCTTCTTGCATAGAAAACTTGAGTTTGTTTTCTGTAAGTGCTGCTTCCATTTCCCAGATGCTAAATGGGTACCGGTATTCCCAGAGTTGGCTCCTTCTCAGTCATTTCCAGCAGGCTCTGGCTCACACTGCAGAAAGGCCCCAATTGTACATGGAGCATGTCCTTGGCAGGCGAGGGCACCACTAGGGAAGCAGGAAAGAAAAGGTGTCAGGGTGTGAAATAAAGGTATCAAAAATATAAAGCTATTTGAGCATATCGAAGGGGCTGTTATTTTAAAAAGTGAATGCCTATGTTAGGCATTAGGCTAAAGGAAAAAGAGACCACAATGTCACATTTTAGTCCAAGGGTCAGCAAGCTACACTCTTTCTGCCAAATTTGGCTTGCTGCCTGTTTTTGTTTCTGTTTTTGAAATTCAGCTCAACTTGTTTTTCCACTTATATAAACCGTCTCTTTCTCTGTTGATTTAGAGCTGCATAGTTGCATTGGAGTTTATGGCTCACAAAATAAATGTATACCACCTGGATAGTATACATCCTGGGTAGAAAAAGGATCTCCAACCCCTGTTATCAAAGTAGCTTTTCAGGTTGAGAGTGACAGAATTCTGTGAAGTGCTTTGGGAAAAATATTGGTTGGGTAACCCAAAACAAGAAGTGTCCTGGTCTATCTAACTTACATGATTTGGTGGATTCATTGATCTTCTCTTGGTGTTTTTAGTTAGGATATACTGGGTCAGAATCTATGCACTTGGGTTTCTTCATGAACCCATTTCTGGGCTCAAATAATTTAAGTAGACTTTTAGCCCATCAATTTTGTTTATGTCTTCTAAGAAAGCCTTAATCTTATTTCTCTTACTACTTTTTCCTTTGATTCAGATAATAAACGTTAAAAAGTTAGACAATTGCTGGGTGCTGGTTGTTCACACCTATAATCCTAGCTACTTAAGAGGCTGAGATCTGAGGATTGGAGTTTGAAGCCAGCTTAGGCAGGAAAGTTTGTGAGAGTCTTAAAATTCTCCGAATAACCACCAAAAAGCTGGAAGTGGAGCTGTGGCTCAAATGGTAGGGCACTAACACACACACACACACACACACACACACACACACACACACACACACACACACACACACACACACACACACACACACACACACACACACACACACACACACACACACACACACACACACACACACACACACACACACACACACACACACCCTCAAAAAAAAAAGAAAATATACAAAACAGAGAGGAAAAATTAAATTGGAGCCTCCAGTTAGGCACATGTATTTAATTAACCCTAGATACTATATATTCATAATCTCATTACAAAATTAGAAGCTGTTTGAAATGTTTTTTTAAAGAAAATGAATATGTACATTAAACTTTCTCATATCGTTAAGTATTTTTGTAAAATAGTTTTGCATTATTTGCATAATATATTCATGTGTATTCTGCCATATACTCAGTTCTTCATTGCTGATTATTTTGATAGCTTCCAGCTACTTAGTGTGCAGAAGTAACAGTGTGTTCTGCTGTGTTTATTTTTTAGGGATAAATTCCTAGGATTAGAATTACTGGCTCAAAAGCCTAAAAAGGCTGGGGTATAATTATATACCCACTAGGAGGATATGAAAGCACCCAGCTTTTCATACTAAATTAGAAAGCCTACTGTATTTTTCTTCATTTGTATTTTAGTCTTACATTTTTATTGAGGTTGACTGTTGGTTTAGATGACCCGCTCATAGCCACTGTAATGTTTGAATGCACATGTTGAATGATGGTGGCTTCTCTTTCTTTGCAGGCCCCTCCTCCAAAACCACCTCGAAGGCAGGGAGGCTGGGCAGTTGATTCTGGAAAGGTGTCAAAGTGAGTACCAGCAGCCTATGTGGATGGGGGTAGGTGGTGGGGGGTACACCAGTCCTTTGTCATTTTATTGAGATAAAATTCACATACCAGTTAAAGGATACAATGGAATAATTCATAGGATAGTCACAGAGCTGTGCCACCATCACCACAATCAGTCTTAGAACTTTATTTTTATCACACCCTACCCAAGAAACTTTGTATCTAACAGTGACTTCCCACAGCCTCCTAATCTCCCCAACTCTAGGGAGCAATCAATCTTCTGTCCCTGGGATTTGCTTATTCTGGATGTTTTATGTAAATATCATCATATATCATGTAATTCTCTATGACTTGCCTTTATTGCTTGCAAAGGATTTGTAAAGTTTACCTACATGTAGCATTCTGTGTTTTTATTTTATTTTTTTTTTGTCGGTCGTGGGGCTTGAACTCTGGGCCTGGGCGCTGTCCCTCAGCTCTTCAGCTCAAGGCGAGCGCTCTACCACTTGAGCTACAGCGCCACTTCCGGTTTTCTGGTGGTTTATTGGAGATAGGAGTCTCACGGTCTCTCCTGCCCGGGCTGGCTTTGAACCGCGATCCTCAGATCTCAGCCTCCTGAGTAGCTAGTATTACAGGCGTGAGCCACCAGCGCCCGGCTCTGTGTTTTTAAAGTACACGAAAGAAATTGTGCCTGGCTACTGGGATGAACTTTGCATCATGGCCACTCTGGACATAGATGGTTCACAAAGAGCAGGCCAGATATCCTATCCCATCACTCTGTCTAGTTGGCATCTCATGTTTACTGAAAGGCAGTGCTGTCATTTGGCAGGCATATTGGGACTGTGACCCTCCAGTATTAACTCATCAGCTTATCCTCTTCTGCGAGGAATAATGTAACATCACAGAGCATTCATCAGCCCTTTGTAAGCCAAGTGGGTATGGATGCAGCTTCTGTTTTCACCAGGCTGGATGACGTTGGACAAGGTGTTTATACTGCCCAAGCTGCTCAGTGGAGGCATTGGTGCTCCCTTCAGTGTAGTGCAGGAATATGGCGGCTGTTTGTAGCCCTCTTGGCTTCTCTGCAGCTTAGGCTAGAGGCTGATCCCTTGTGATTCCATGTGGAGAGATGTCAGAGTACAGTGGTATACTTAGTAGCCACAGCTTACCCTGCTTTTAAAGCCTCACTTGTGCCACTTGTGTCTCAGGGACTTTAAGCAAGTGGCAAGTGATTTACCTATCTAGTCTCAGTTTCCTCATCTCTAGAGGGGGTTAAAATAGCTCTTACTTGAAAGGACTCTTGTGAGAATTGAATTGATTCATATGTGTAAAAGTGCTCAGAAGAGAAAGCATTTAGGAAGCATTCTAGATGCTGACTTCTGTTGCTATAATGATGATTGTGTGGCTTTGAATATATTATTTATCCTTTGCCAGTCCTGGGGCTTGAACTCACGGCCTAGGTTCTATCCTTGAGTTTCCTTTGCTCAAGGTCAGTGCTCTACCATTTGAACCTCAGTTCCACTTCCAGCTCTTTTGCTAGTTTATTGGAGATGAGTCTCATGGACTTTTCTGCCAGGGCTGGCTTTGAACCATGATCCTCAGATCTCAGCCTCCTTAGTAGCTAAGACTATAGGCATGAGCCTGTAACATCCTCTTGTTGCATATCTTTATACACTCATGAAGTTCTGGAGCTTTTAGATGTTTATGTGGGAAATAATGTGGGGAAATAATTCCAGGTTAGGAAAAGCAAGGGCTGTTTTGATGATCAGGAATTGTCTTTAATCATGAGTTTACCAGCCTTAAATATAAGAATGTCAGACTTTCTAAGCTTTTTTAGTCTCAGAAGCACTTTTAAAGTACATGGTGTTAAGAATTGGACATAATGGCCTGGTGCTAGTGGCTCATGCCTGTAATCCTAGCTACTCAGGAGGCTGAGATCTGAGGATCACGGTTCAAAGCCAGCACTAGCAAGAAAGTCTGTGAGACTCTTATCTCTAATAAATCACTCAGAAAACCAGAAGTGGCACTGAAGAGCTCAAGGATAGCACTCAGGCCCAGATTTCAAGCCCCACGACCAACCAAAAAGAAAAAAAAAATTGGACATAGTGAATGAGTGATGTCTTCTCATCTCTGCTAGCATCAGGGAATGCATATGACCAAGAGCAAACTAGGACTCTGGACACCCGGACTAAGATCTTTGTCTCTGGGATGGTTTTATAATGACATTGTCTTTAGTAAGGAGAGAGCAGTCCTAAAACTTCTTGCTGCTCTTCTTCTTTTTTTTTTTTTTGGTCTGGTTGTGGGGCCTGAACACTGGGCCTGGGCGCTGTCCTTCAGCTCTTCAGGTCAAGGCTAGCGCTCTACCACTTGAGCCACAGTGCCACTTCCAGCTTTTTTTCTTTTTGCTTATGTGGTGCTGAGGAATCGAACCCAGGGCCTCAGGCATGCAAGGCAAGAGCTCTACCACTGAGCCACCTTCCCAGCCCTTGCTGCTCTTTAAAGGACAACATTTGTCTGAAACCCCAGTACTTGGGAGGTGGAACCAGAAGGATTTTAAGTTTGAGGCAAGGATGAACTGCATAGTGAGACCCTGTCTCAATTTTTAAAAAGGGCTGGGCACTCATTGCTCACATATGTAATCCTAGCTACTCAGGAGGCTGAGATCTGAAGATTGCAGTTTGAAGCCAGCCAGGGCAGGAAAGTCCATGAGATTCTATCTCCAATTAACATCTAAAAACCAGAATTGGAACTGTGGCTCAAAGTGGTAGAGCACTAGACTTGAGCACAAAAGCTCAGGGACAGGACCCAGGCGCTAATTCAAGCCTCATGACTGACAAAAAAAGAAAAGTCAAAAGGGAGAATTTCTATGCTAATTCAGGAGTGGCAATGAAGTCTCTTCTTGTTTGTTGGATAGGAAGTGACAGCAGAACAAATTTTAAAACACAGCATCTGATTCAGATATACCTGGGTTGGAATTCAAGTTTCAGTACTTCACTGGTTGTGTAAACTTGAAATATTGCTTGCTCCTATAAAATAGTCACAGTGCATATTACAAAGATTCATTCTGAGGATTGAATGTATAATATAGGGAAAAGCACCCAGCTTAATGGTAGTAGCTAGTGCTGCTATATTTGTTAATAATTGACAATTACTTTCTGGCATGCACAGGGTCCCAGGTCTCTGAGCTCTGTAACTGTAAAACGTTGCAGTGTTGCATATGACAGTGCTGGCTGCTGCCTCAGGACTTGTTATTCTCTCCCAGTGGTCTTTTGTCACTCAGATGCTGTTAAGCCTCTTTTCTTGATAGGATTCAGCACTGGTTTTTAGTGAGTTTGAAATACAAGTCTCATGTGCTAGAGAGAATCTTGGATAGGAGCCTCATTTTTCTAAGATACTAGGAGATTTCATTATAATATCTAGAAATGTGGAAATAAGACAAACCCTCTGTCTTCCTCTTAGAGAACAAAATATTATGACAAGTATTTATTCTTCCAGCAAAAATATTTGAGATTTTTCCAGATCAAGTGAGTTTTCTCTTGGAGAGAGATACTTTTCCCTTCTTATATTCTCTTTTCACAAGTTTTACCTTGGCTGACTCCTCACTCAGTTTGTGGTTGTTTGTCACTAATAATGTTGGAGGGTCAGGCAGATCCTGAAACTTACTTTGTGCTGTGTCCACATTCATTCTTTGTGATCCTTTAGCCTCAGATTTCATCTGTACACCAATGATGTCCAGTCCTCCCCCCGGACATCCACTTGATGTTTCTACTTAGTTATACAACTTCTTAATTTCCATGCCTTGTTCCCCTCTTCCCTAATCCATATCTCTATATTTCCTCAGATCTTAGTAAGGGGCAACCCCATTTTCCTAGATCCTCCTACAGTTACATTGGAGTCACCCTGACAAGGGGTCCAAGAGGCCAGTGCTGAGCTACGTTAAGGACCTCCCCCATTAAGGTTGGAAACTTAGCTCCTATTTGCAGAAGGCTCTCGGGAATACCAGAGTATAAGAGCAGAATTCTAATTGAGGCATTTCTGTTCAAAAAATCAGAAGCAGCAGTAGGCACACATTGTGAACAAAATGAATGGCTAGTACTAGCCATGTGATGTCAGAGAACAGAGTGTCATCTCTAAAATCAGGGTACACCTTTCAGAAGATCTGAATTCTGATGAGCATAGAGGCTTATAAGAGCATTCAGGCTGAAAACTTGGTGTTAAGTGGTTAATAACCTTAGTATAGCAGAAAATTCACACTGGGAATAGTATACTTTTTGGATAATAATAGCAGTGTTCTAGGCACCTGCCACAGTTCAGCTGCCATAACAAACTACCTTATATTGGGAACCTGAACAATGAATGTTTATGTCTCCAGTTTTTGGAAGCTGGAACTCTGCATTCAGTCCTAACTAGCATGATTGGGTCCTTGGTGAGAGACTCTTCCTGGCTACATCCTCACATGCTTCTTCTTTTGTTATCTGCACAGAGAGAAAGGGGTGGGGATCGGGGGAGAGCGAGATCAAAAGTGCTGCACCTTCATAATGACTTGTAGACCCAATCACTTCCCCAAAGTCCCACTTCTAAACATCATCACACTGGAGTTTCAAGTTCAGCATTTGGGAAAGGGGAGGGAAGGATGGACACACATTTGGTTCACAGGTGCATCTTTGAAGTGTGTTATATCAACTCTTGGGTAGCTTCTTGATCTACTTTTCCCTTGTATGCGTCTCTAATTGAGGAGCTCAGCACCAAACAATATGAGTTCTTAGGGTAGCCTTACTTTATATAATGCTACCCAAGACAGAGAACAGAGCGTTTGTCAGCCATCTCCCAGGGTGCCAGAACTCATGCTCACCCCCAAGGCATGAAATAGAGTAGAGTTCAGGAATTGCCTGGGACCTGGAATTACAACCTGTCCCTTCTCTTGGCATAAAAGGCATAGCTGTGAACAAGATGCCATCTTGGAGCCAGTTTCCCTTGGCTCTAAAGTTGTCTAAGTTGGGGCACTTTGAGTTGATAGGTCACTTGCT